AGTTGTGATCAGCGTTATCAAAGTAACCATTCTGAAACAAATTAAGTGACTTTTTAACGGTTAAGACAAAGTATGTCAAGAAGTTTCAACATTTTTGCTTGCCACTGTGACATCATATACTCTGAAATTAGACGCCATAATGAATATAACTTTATAAAATATAATGCGTAAAGAACTGAAGATGGAATATTATGAATGTTTTTGTTGTTAAAATTGACGTAAACCATAAAACTTTAGAAATCAGGTTAAGCCTCTAGGTCAGTATTGCACTTCACAGATCATTCTGACGACCTGCTTAAATTACTGTTACCCATATTTTTTCCAAAAATCAGCGTGTTATATTCACTGCATTTTACATTGTTTTAACCATTCAACTACTTTCATGAATTGGGAACTACTGTCATGCGCATTTTCAAAAAAATTTCAAACTAATGGAGGAGAAACTTCATCTAGGAGTGGAGTAAGTTCTACATGGGACAATATTGCTTCAAGTGGTGCGCTATCGATCATTATATTACTTGAAGTTCTGGTATAAGGAGTAAATACCTTGCAATAAAACGAGCTGAAAGCCCTGTACTATGTTTAAAACGAAAATTTCAGAACAAAGCTGTTACTATTATCGATAATAATTTTTTGTGTGTTGAAGTTTCTTAGCGGTTTGAAAAGCTTGGTGGTGTATTGTTGTTAGCCCTACTCACAACTTTTCCTCTTTACCTGGGATTGGGACCGGCTAGAAAACTAGCAAGCTAGTTAACTAGGCAAGGCCAGAAAGAACAAGTAACAAGAAACTGTGGGTACAAAGCAACCAAAAGCCGATCGCCCAACAAATATGTAGGAGAAAATTGAGATGGATCGAGCTTACATTGAGGAGACCGTAGAATGACATTGCGCGCCAGGCCCTTCAGTGGAATCCCAATGGGACACGACGGGTGGGTCGTCCGCGCGAGGGTGACATGCAGGAGATATCGTGGGGGGGGAATGAGAAATTGTGGGCAATCGTGGTCCAAGCTGAAGAGGATGGCAGAAGATACGACAAAGTGGAGATGTGTTGTTGAAGCTCTATGTTCCAATGGGAACAGGTGACACACACAGACTACAACGCTACACATCAAATATTAAAATACCTCTTTCGGCATTTTTTGCGTAGATATTGAGCCTTTATTGTTAATAAATGATTGCTATACACAGCAGTCAGTGGTACGACCATCCATGTGCTGAGAACAAATTACATTAGTCTGCCAGTTTCTACTCTTATTATTTTCGCCCTATTAAAATAATTTTCGTAACAGTGTTAGATATAATAATGTGAAATATTCCCATATCATGAATTAAAAGTCAATCTGAACGAAGAATATTCTTTTCAATAATTTCTCTTCAGGTTCTTACAATTATAAAATATAATATTTACTGTCGTTACAATAATGGTCAGTTATGCGGCGGATACATTTTTAACGTAGAAAAACAGATGAGTTATGGGGTGTCAGAATAAATAGTCCTATTTGTGTGACAAACGTGCTAGGCTGAAATTGACTACAAAATATTATAAAATTGGAAACAATGGTGGTGATTAGTCATCAGAGTGTGGGGTAGGAAAATTGACAAGTGAGTTCAAGGTTATAAAAGGTGTCAGGTGAGTGGCTAGTACAAAGTGGTTTGTATTAAACAGGAGATTGTAAGACTGCAATGAGAGTTTCATAATGAAATAACGAATGTGTGAAATAAAACAGGTGGAGGCACATATTGAGAAAAGAGATAATATCACTAATAATAAGTCCGGATAGCATAAATGGAAAATTCGATAGTATTGAGAGAATGTTTGCATGAAGGGCATAAATTATGACGAATAATAATAATTGTAATAAAAAGCAAAAGAAAACAAACAAAAAAACCAAGAGGGTTAAGGGGAAGAAGCACTCTTGGTGATAAGAAGAATCATCAATTTAAGTTTGGCCATGGTAGGAACAGCGTCTGGATGTGTTCTTTCTGGATACAAAGTTCCGGTTTAGTCGATCTTATTGCAGCAGCTTCAGCTATCTGTAGGAGACGTAAGCAAACTGTACGTTATCACGTTATCATTTTACAATATTTTGTAATCAGTTTCAGCCTAGCACGTTTGTCACACAAATACGACTATTTATTCTGACACCCCATAACTCATCTGTTATTCTACGTTAAAAATGTATCCGCCGCATAACTGGCCATTATTGTAACGACAGTAAATATTATATTTTATAATTGTAAGACCATGAAGAGAAATTATTGAAAAGAATATTCTTCGTTCAGATTAACTTTTAAAATGTTAGATAGAGCAGTTTTAATTATGTCAAAATACAACAGATCACGCATGGTTAGAGCATTTAATAAATACGTGGTATCGAAGATTACAGATAATTTTAATTTGAAAATCAATAGCAGTATACAGTTGTGTCTTCATGTAAAATCCTAGAAGACTAACTGTGCTATTATTTGACTAAAACTCATGAATACAGTTTTAAGTATATTTTTCTCATGTAGACTGTTACACTAACAATATTGTTTATGGTAATGGTAAAGTTCACTATGAATCAATGCATTAAACAGCTCATATTGTTACTTGCTCTATCAGAAGATTAAATTTCACCTAAGTATGCTAAACATCAATCTATTTGAGTAATACATATTGCCTATGCAATAAATTTTAAGCACAAGGATGTTATACGATAAGCCCATAAATTATTTAAACTTCATCAGAAATACTAATATTATGAGCTGTTGATTAATGTAGGTGGGTCTTTAAGATAAGTAATGACAATTGTTGAATTGAATAACATGTTTATATTGTTGATATGATACAAGCTTATACTAACAGAGAACAGTGTTAAATAAAATCAGTTATCCTTGTGTCGTAAAATCAATCACAAAATATAATGGATAGTATTGATATAAGTATAAAACTTAGTAAATATATATATTTTTTAAGTGGAAGCATTTGTAGGTCATTTCTAAAACTAGTAAGGAATAAATGATAGATTTTCGGTGAAAGATAGTCTTAAAGGCATTAAGGAACTTTTCAGAACCATTAAATAATGTTTAATTTATCTGGGTCAATGTTGTGCACCGTAATACCTTGTTTAGATCAAGAAAAAAAAAACATGTTTAATTGTAATGTAATAAAAAAACTGCACAAAAATAAGTCGGTCAGATTATTTTGCTCCGTTATCACAAGTAATTTGGATTTGTTTTATACGACCACTATGCCACCTGTAAATACAAGTGAATAAGTACATATATATGAAAGGATCCCTTAAATGATTTTACAATAACAGACTAGCAAGTAGAATGAATAATATTCCTGTCAGACATACTGTATTATAAAATACTACATTAAAGCACCACATTGCTAATGGTGATACGGCGTATGCATTCATTTTACCAAAAGTTGTAGAAGTGTGCCATTCACATTTAACTGGGGAAATATGTAAGTAGTCAAATGAGATATATATACCAAAACATTTTCACCAAGTATAGCATATGGTGTTACAGAACTATTTATTAACTGGTGATACCTACTCTACGCGTCCGTGGCATAGCGGTTAGGACGCTCGCCGACCATGCACATGGTCCGGGGTTCGATCCCCGGCCGACGCACTCCCTTACCTCTCTATGCCAGAAGTAATGCTGGTGAAAAGGAAAAGGTGGGCATGGGGCTAGCAACCCCATCCTGTAAAATAAACACTGCTAAAGAAACTTCAAGCCACAAGCTTGAAGCCCTATGTTCCACTGGGGAACGTGAAGGAAAAAAAAGATACCTACTCTGCGTAACTCTAACTTTTAATATAGTTCCTGTGCTGCTATATCATGTGACTAAAAACCGACTACTTCACTAAGACCTGAATGTATCTTATTAGTTCAGAAGGGACATGAGTTCCTTCAAGGTTGCAGATACGCCTTGCTGACGAGTGCCAACTAGCCAGAAACCTAGTTCCAAGGCTTCCTGCCGACTGCCTCCAACCATCTGGTATCATTAAATATACTACCTTCTGAAATTGAAGTTTACCATTAATGTTCTGCTGTGCTTATTGGATACTAGCATGTTTTTTTGTAAACTTAGGCTTCAAAGAGCGAATTTAGTTACCTAAAAACCTTATTCATATGTAGTTAGAAAATAATCATGATTCTGATCTGTGGTAGAATTTTGCAATACAATTTAAGTATTAGAATTAAAATAGTTAATTCAGTTAACTGATTTACTTCATTAGTAAAATATATTCATGAAGGATTGCGCTGTTCGTCAAGAACTACAAAACATTATCACTTGCATAAATTATCGTAAATGTAAGCTACTCATCATACCTAGATGTCAAAAAGTTAAAACAAAAACACTCAAATATTATTGTATCTTGTCAGTGATACCATTTCAAGCGTAGCTGATGGTCAAACGATGGTGGGATAGTACCTGAAACTTATTAGCAAAATGATCATTTTTCATGGACTGTTCAGGACGAAATAGGTCGTTTCGTAATGTCTAAATGCATGATAAGTGCAAAGATTATGTGACGTGAAATCTCAGTAAGGAAAACAAAAGGTATAAATAGTACTTTGAAGCGCTCATTATAAGTCAAAATCATTGACAATGAGGCCGATAGCTTAGAATTTTAAGTTGAGATGAAGCGTATTAATAAACAGTGAAACATAAGAACAAATTACTATTAAGGAGCACACAAACCAATGAAGAGTAAAAAAACTTGAGATATAATCTCTTTCTGTCTTTCTGGGTTTGCGAATTTATTTAAGTTACTCATTTTCTATTGTTGTTTAAACGTGCTTTACATGAAACAACAAAGAGTTATTTCAGATTATGGATTTTTTGTAAGGATATGGATTGGTTTCAGTGTAGATTTTGTCACTAACTACCAACACAGTTGAGTTTAGGGCTGGTACGTGACGAAATCTACACTGAGACGGGAAATTAAAACAAAATTTACTTAGAAAGATTTATATTGTAGAATAATTTTACATACCATGATCATTCAAGCAGTACTTCCCCATGCTTCCAAAACTTGCTGTACTTATTTTATCTGTCGACATATGCGGTATGCTTGGATTGGAAGAGAGTGGATAGTTATCATGTGAATTTGTTACACTTTTTGCATCTTTTTGCTCATCGGTTTCAATATTATATTTATTATAATAATCATCCGATTTTAAGTATTGATGACGAAGAAGTGGAGGGAAGTTTAAATCCAAAATTTCATCTGAAAGCGTAACATGCTTCTCTAAACGTTTTGGCTTTTGTCTCAACGAGGAAGTAGTAGTGAGCTGTTCATCATCTGATCCTTCTTTTGTTCTGCTTACCTCAAATACACGTTTACCTTCTGTTCCAGGAAGTTTAATCGACGAGTGAGTTGACGATATATTTGTTAGTGGAAATGTTCCACAAGCAGACTCAATAGTATTTTTAGTGTTATTTCCACTAGAAGATGTAGAATTATTGGTAGTGGTAATGTTCATATTTTGTATTACATAATATATTGGTTGATGTAATAATCTATCTCATTTAGATGTGCATTATTTAGTCATAACTTAAATGGTCGCATTGTTAAGATATGATGTGTACTGTTTTCTTTCTCCTGAGGGTGTGGTTATAATCTCTTATGAATAGCATTGAAAGAAGTGTGTTGCAAAGTAAACACTCGAAGATTAATCATGAAATTATCTTCCTCTAATATTATTGAAAAAAGATATTAATTTGATTGGTTAACATAAATTTATTCAATCAGATTTTTGAAATTGATTGCACTGATAAAAAAGAAATATTACTTGGATCCATCTATCAATCTTTATTCATATGTTTACCTGCTTTGGCGTACTTTGTCTCCTTCTCCTTCTTCCTTCATCTCACCTCTCTTTCTCTCCTCATAGTCTTCTTCCAATTTGACAAGCTTCCAATTCAATAAATAAACATAAAACAGACAGACATATACTGCCTACAAGTCAAACCAGTTTCTTTGTAAAAAAACATTGTGAGAAAATGTGTGTGATTATGTTAAAGTCTTCTACTTCTTCTTCTTCTTTCCTCGTTCAGTTAACAATACTTTACACTTCCTGATTCAAAATGCTTCTGTAATCAAGCGTTTTAATCATACTAATTATTTTCTGGAATTGAAATGGCTCTTAAATGGAAAAAAATGAGTAAAACGGTAGACACTTCGATGAATTATGAGAATTTCATGCTCAGCAAATCACATGATTCAAACATTGCAACTAGGCAATAATTAATGCTATGAATATAATTTGAAAGACAGAAGTATTCACACTAATCTAACACCTCTTCCGCTAACCTAGTCTAGTTTTATGTTAGTTACCATATTTTGCATTCTTTAATCCGCCTACAAATGAAATTTTTATGATAAAACACGTTTTTATATACTTTCGAGTGCTGAATAGAATTGGTTTTTAAGTCTGAAAAGCTCCAGTTTTGTGGTAGGGAACGTTTGATAAATATAGAAAGAAGAATAAAAAAGAGGCTTTTTCAAAAAGCTGAGTGTTAGTCCATATTCTTGCAAAGAATTACTAACGCTAGTGATTGGTTCAAAGTTTGCTTAACGCAGTGACATTTAAACTGAACTCTGGAACTGAAGACATTTCCGATAGAGGTAACACTAAAAAAATACTTACCTTTCAGTAGAAAGAGAAGAATGTTTTAAGTATAAAGAAATCTGTAAGATATGCATTTACTTGCAGTCTAAGACGAAACGTCAGAATCCGCATGTCATACTGAGCTTGTTGCTTCATCTTGCTGTTATTAGCCTAACATGAAATGTTATGGTTCGACACCTATCAGCGTCGGTGGCACAGTGATTAGGACTCTCGCCGACCATGCACATGGTTCGGAGTTCGATCCCCTGCCAACGCACACCGGATATCTATGGTCGGCCTGAAAAATTTGGGCTACCGATATCCATGCTGAAAATTCCATACTTGTACTGAAAATACGGTGTGGCATTAAGCTGTAATCAAAAATAAAATAAAAAATAAATAAAAAAATCTCTAAAGTAACTAGACTTCACTTGGAGAACCATTTACTGCTTTCATATCACTGTACTTCACATATCTTCCTTAATTTTTTGTGGATTTGCGTTAATTTCAATTTCCGCAAATTAAAGGAGTAACCATATTGAAATAATTGTTAGAAGTGTGGATTTCGATATTTTTTAATAATTATGAGATTTTGATGACCTGAGCATATTACAAATTTAAATAAAAATTTAATTGCGCCAAGAGACGCATCGATGTTTCCGGTACTTAGAAATATTTTGATAATAGGTGATATTTATGCTTTGACCTTTAGAGTCATAAGAATGACATTCTTTAACACTATAAATTCACTTCGGTTGAACAGAAAATCATATCTTCACTTTGATTTACTAGAGTTATGAAAATGAAACCATTGTAACGTAATCTGCATTTTCAAAACGTAGTGGTATTCAGGATTTCAAGGCTTTAAGAATGCATAGGTTGCTTTAAGGAAGCGTATGAATATTTTCTGTTCCTTCTATTCTGTTTTGCTGCCCAGTTATTACTTTTTCCACGGAAAAACATGGTTATTTTTCTGATTTTCACCTTTTTAAGATATGACTTTCATACTTTAACTCCCTAAAGATATAAATCCTGTCATCCTTTTTAAAACGCTAAGTTTGGCTTTATTGTTATGCATTTAAGTTCACTGTACTTTGCCTAAGTAAGCCTATTTTTTAGTTAACCATCTTGCGTTAACTAACACCTGAACTATAATATGAATCTACATTTTATGCTTTCAAGTTGACCAAACTTTTATTTACCTATTCAGTTTACTTGGATCATAGGCAAATCTAGTGGAGAATGTGGAGAATATCATTCTTAACCTGAGACGTGATTTATAGTTTATAAAGTCAAACAAAAATGTTTGAAAGGATTTTTTACCTAGAAATTTAATTTTTTTTTTCATGCATTATTCCCCACATCTAGACATACTTGATTTGTCTAGCTAGCATTTTAAGTGACGAATATTCTTAAATTCCTAATGAGAGGTTTTAAGCATTCCACTTCATGACTTCAATTATTAACCAAACTATCGTGTTTAGGCGTGAACACTTCATCCAACTGTTTTAACACCATTTCTTATGAACGATTTGTGAATATTCATTGATAATAAATATGAGTTGGGACGTGAATATGTTTGTTAAATAATAGCTCCTCGTCTTTCTTCATAAGCTGAAGTTTACCAAGACGAGCATTACTGCTCTCAGCAGTAGATAGTCAAAAGTTATTAAATCCAAAACTAAAGCACTGTACAATTTACAAGTAAATCCTTTCATTTGACACGTTTCTCCTGAAACAGTGTTTTGTCAATAGAATGAAGGGAACCCCTCTGACGGTGTGAGCCAAAAAATGTAGTGGAAAGGACTTTAATTATAATACCGAAGGAGACATTTGAGTGCGAATTCTTCCTTTAGATCTGATAAATTCCAAGTTCTTTTTGACAGTAAAACTGCTTTCATTGAAAGGTAAATGACAAAATATGTTAGTAGAGATAGAAATTCAAAACTTTCATCAAAAAATAAAATACGACCAAAAAAGGAAAAACCTTTCCTTATGCTTATTTGTGAAGTCCGATGATATAAGCCAAAATGCATATATAAATGTATTTTAGAAGCTCGAAACATCCCGTTGCATTGTTTAATTTACCGAGGTAATTCTTATTCATTTCATTACTCAGTGAGAAAATGAAAATAAGTTCAGCAAGCATATCTTTTAAGCAGTTTCATCCTTGAAGGCTGTAAAATCATATATATATATGTGAAAGTTTATACAGTTACAATTTGTATTTAATTCAGCATAATAACGAAGGAAGATCGAAGGGGACAATAATTTTCAACTTGAAAAAATGTAGGCAATGAAAAAAACGAACGAAAACTAAGGGTTCAAACAGAATTAGATCCACAGCATATGTTGGGATTCGATTAGTTGCTTTTGAACAGATAGTTCCGGCTTTTAGATGCAAAATCGAGAGCTTCTGCAGCACAAAGAAATCGAAAATACACTGCCTTTGGCAAGCCTATATACACTTTGTAAATGATTCTGAGTGATTAGTGAGTTTAGTTGCTGGGAAGGGTGTTAAGTTATAGAGCTTCTGATTGAACCAGCGCCTAGGCGGCCTCTTGCAGCCATACTGGGATTAAAACTGAGTCACAGGTTCCTTTTCTAGATGTAGAACTCACAATTAGTGATGATGGAACTCTGTAAAGATCTATCCAAAAAATCCCACCATGGAATATCCGACTAAACTATTTTTTATAATCTGACACATATTAGTTGTCAAACAGCTGTCATTATTTCACTTGATCACTTCATCATAAGAATCTTCAGCATTGACTGCGTAGAAGACCTTAAACTTCTCAAAAATATCCCGGCTCAGAATACATATTCGGCACGTTTTTCTGATGATTTTGTTTTAGTTTAAGTTCATTAATTATTCGATTACCACAATTTGCAGAATATATCTTTATATGCAGAACAGAAGAGTAATTAATACAAGTACATAAGTATGTGCATATGCCGCAAAATACAATTGGATATCAATGGCAAACTTCTGAAGTTTTGTGGGTTTACTTCAGGTCCCTAATTTTGCTAAAAGCTACAAACTGCATTTTGTCTGAGTCCAACGGGAGAAGGATAACTAGTAAAGGTAGATTGTTACACTGACTGTTATAAACGTTATCTGAGTTGGAAATGAGAAACAATAGTTTAAATCATTTCAGACAATGTTTGGAAATCACTCAATGGTTTAACCCTACCTTTCTAGCAAAACTTCCCTTGATTTAGATTTCAGTGGAGAAAATGAAATATCTTATCATGCGATTTCATGAAAATATTTCTATTGCAACTATAAAGCAAAGATAATTCAATTCATTCAGTAAATCCTAACTTTTTAGTGCAAAAGCTTAACAGATAAAATTCCCGCAGAAAGTGTTGCAATTGCTTACCTTTGGATTACTTTTCAACCGCCAAACTTATGCAGCGTCACACATTTTATTCACAAATACTGAACTACTTCACTTTTTACCACAAACCAAAATGCTTTGGATATGTATTTTTGCAATAATCCACCGATTAATGTAAAAGGCATGTTAACTGTAAATGTATAAAGTAGAAATCTGGAAATTCACCACTACTTCTTTTGGTTGGCGGACGGTTTACTTCACTAACCTCTCTGATGAGTCGGATCTGTAATTCGCGGTGAGGGATTCCGACTTTTCGGTTACTTAACCGGCAGAAATTCCGAAAGTGTATGCGTGGATATTCCTTATATTTCTCTTAACTACAATTACTTATAAGTAAACAATACAAGTTATCAGTAAACTGCAATAGCTTTTTGTTTTTCACAGCAGTTTGATTTAAAAGCTTATGCAAGGCAGCCTGAAAGTAATGCTTAGTTTAATTAAACCAAACTAGATTATTTTCATTGGTGACATTGCATTTTTTGCAAATGTTTCTGTATCCATCACATCTGTAAGTTATCCAAGCACAGTGGAAAAAAGGATATTATATATTACTTCCATAACTGTCATAGATACAAAAGCAGTCTTACTATACACTGAAATTTTATACTGTTTATGTTTGTCTGCTGAAAAACAGAGCTATTCAATAGTATTTACTAAATTTATTCCCCACTCGTATCAAAATAGTCGCCGAAATGTAAACACCTGGTTTTAATAGATAGTATAATATTTGTTTCTTTGATTTTGTTGGTAGCAGAAATTCCGTGTTACTGCAACTGAAGACACGAACAAATTATTACCAGTTTGGGTGATAACATTCTGTTTTTAGCTTCACAGTGTGACACCACACACCACGCTTTTGTCCACAGAGGTAGAAGGTCAGCTTATGCTGTGTATGCATTC